TTGTGATCACGTCGCCCCACCTGGACCGAGTCCCACCTGGGGCCCCACGGCTGTCCTCGGGCCTGGGGACGGGCCCCTGGGGTGTCGTAGAGGAGCTCTGAGGGTGCTGTGTGGCTTGAACCAGAGAGGACGCGAAGTTGCTGGGGATGGGAAGTGTGTTGTGAGTGATGTCAGTCCTCCTGCCTCCTGGATACAGCTTTGTTTCTGACACTTAAAAAAAATCTGCATGATTCCCTCAAAATGGCATCCCCTGCCTGGCTAAGGCTTATCTGCCATTCCAAGGCTGCTCAAACACAGCCCCGCGCATCCTGAGTGAGAGCTGTCAGACAGCCAGGACCGAGACCCCGGACTCTGTGACACTTTCCTTTGTCCACAGCCACTCCCATCGAACTCATGCCACCCCCCCCCACGAAATGTCATGTACACACCCTCCCCCCATCCCCCAGCTGAGGCTCTCGTGTTCTTGTCGTGGAGATGACCTGGCTTCCGGACACTCACCCTGCCCCTGTTCTGTCCCCTCCTGGACCCCAGCCCTCAGTCTGCACCCGAGAGACCTCTCTAGACCTTGAGCTGGATTAAAAAGCCCCGGCGTGCCGGACAGAGGAGAACAAGATGGGACAATGCAAGACGATTTTCTAAAACTCCTCCACTTGATATATACTCTAGTTCATCTCTGTTTTGAAAACTAAAGTATTAGGGTTTTGTCTGGGAATTTAATCATTTTCATTATCATTTCCATGAGGAAAAAAATGTACTCCAAGTTTCCCTAAATGGACAAATGATTGGAATATAATTTTTTAGTAAATGGGATGACCTGTAGTGTTGGCATAATTGGTTATATTTAAATTGACAAACTGACCTTCTTGAGGATTAAAAGCAAACCGACAGTGGCCAGCAGCTTCCCAGGGGCCACAGCCTGGGCAACTCAGCCGGACTCCAGGCTCTTCGCCCACTGGCTCCAGCCCTTGTCCAGCTGTCTCTGCCTCCTGCCCCCTGCCTGCCACCCCAGTCTCCTCACAGCCCCTTCGGCCCCTTTAGCCCATCAGGCACTTTCAGCCCTTCAGGCGTTGGTTCCTGTGAGGCCCTCAGCCAAGAATGCCTTCTCCTGCTACCTTGGGGAAATCCTACAGCTCCTAGAGGCTCACTCTGCACGTCACCTCCTCTGTGTCAGCAGTGACCTGCGTTCTGCTCAGCTGCAGACACTGAGACTCTCCCTGCCCAGCTGCAGCCCAAGCCCCACCGGTTCCCCATCCCAGCACTGATGGAGGCACCCCAGAGATGACAAGCAAGTGTGCAGGCTGGACCCTGCTGCCTGGGACACGAGACCTGTGTGCTGGGAGTGAACCGCCTCCCACCCCCCACTGCAGCCAAGAGCCAACCGAGCCACAAATATAATCGTAACAACTATGGCTTTTTTAAGCATCTATGCCTGGATCTGAGGATCCATGTTAAGCATTCCACAATTACCACCTAATTTTTATCCTTAGTACCCAGGTCCCTGGAGCTAGGAGAAACTCCTGTTTTATAGATGAGACACGTGAGGCTCAGAAAGGATGTCAGAAGATCGCTAAACTGGGACCTGAGCTCTGGTCTGCTCCATCCCACAGTTTATCTTCCTTGTGCCCACCTGGTATAGACATTTCTTATTTGAAAAATTAAAAATGGCTTATATATATTCTAAACATGAACTAAATATATTCTATAGAAAATGGTTTACAAATATCCTATTTTCTCAAATGCTAGGACTGAAGTGGCTCATTTTGCTGAGACTAGGCTGCCCTACCTGTTAGGCTCTTATCTATCAGCCTCCCTGACATAAACGACACTGACCGGCCAGCCCGGGTGCTCCCGGATCCAGACATGAGCGTGCCCACTGCCCCCACCTCTACTGGCAGCCAGAACCTCCCAACACTGGCCCCACCAGTCCTGTCCCATCCACTGGCCCCAATCCACCTACAGATGGAGGCTAGTTCTCCCAGATGCCAAAGTCCCCTGTGCACTTGCATTTCTGGGATGGATGGAAGGAGGGTGTTGGTAGAAAGCCAGAAATCCAAGTAAAATAAAAATCATAGGTCCCACAATCCCATCTTTTCTCTCTGACCATTCCCTCCCCAAGCACCTGCCTTAACTGCTCATAATGGTCTCCTTCCTAGGACTGTAGGCCTTGCTTTGGGCCTCCCTAAGCCAGCAGCCTCTGAGCTTCCCCGAGACCCAGACCCATGTCTTTCCTTTCGTTCATTTTTTAATTTGGAGAAATAACTCCATCACCTCAGGCTCAAAACCTCTGCAGCACAGTGTGCTGGTGACTAGCCTCCTGGGTTTGCCTCAGCTCCACCCTGCACTAGCTGGCTGACTTCAGACACACCACTAGCCCCTCAGGGCCTCAGTTTCCTCATCTCCAGAATGAGAGTATACCATGCCCAACCTTGTGGGTCTGCCAGGAGAATGAAATGAGATAGGGCAGCTAAAGCACTTGCCTTGGTGACTGGCAGCCCAGTCCAGACTTGGAATAAAAATAACACATCATTTTCACGCTGCTCTTTCCACCGAAGGCGAAAACATATTTTTATGCAGCTGCTTTCCTTCTGATGATTATTTTTATTAGTGGCATAATATTCCATCAAGCAAACACACATCATGAACCTATTCATTCCCCACCTTCATGGGGGTGATGTTTTTGTTTCCTTCAAATTAAGATAGAAACTCCCAAGAGTGGGACTATCAGGTCAAAGGGTCCAGACTTTTTGGACTCTTTCTACAAAATGCCTCCTTTCAGTGCCACGCCCGAGAGTGAGACCCTGGGGAGGAGTCCCGCAGGCATTTCCACACCCTCGCCCTCCGGCCGGCCCCTCCCTATCTGCTTCTTCCACCCTTATTCGTGCCAGGAGTGGTGATGCCCCAGGAGTGGTGATGCCCGTTTAGGCTAAATCTGATCTTAGAAGAAATTTGAGTCTGCAGAGCTTAAGTCTCAAAAGAAAGAAAGGAAAAGCCCTAGTCTGTTTTAAATGACACCAAAAACAAAACGCCAAAAAAGGAGAAAAAAATGAGTTACAAAGCAGGAGCCGCTGGCAGGGCCAAGTGCACCTGGAGGGGAGGCCTCCCCCCGCACAGCAGAGGCACCACAGGCGCAGGGACGAGCCGCATTCCTCTCCTGCATGGAGGGAGCCTGAGCTGATAGAGCCCACGGATGGACACCGGCCGGGCCTTGGGCACAGTGCTCAGTACTGCAGAAGCACTGCCTCACTTCATCCTCACAAAATCCCAATGAATGGGGGCTTCTGCGACGCCCATCTTATAGAGGAGAGTGTGGAGAAGGGCCCTCCACTCGCATACTCAGTACGCAGCCCTGAGCTGATCTGGCCTCCCCGTCCTAAGCACACACAGCCCCACACGTTGTGGATTTGGCTAAAAGGGCACTGAAAGGGAACGGCTTGTTTTCAATCTACAGAGGTCTCTGAATACACTTCGGAGACAATGCAGGATTCAGAGACCCCTGAATGAACTAACCCCTTGGTCACCCCCTGGCCCACCCAGCCTGAGGGTCTTGGGAGGTTCCAGGACACGCTCAGTAGCCAAGGTGTGACTTCATCTCCAGGTGGAAACTCCTCTGCCTTGAATTCTGGGCTGGTAAGCTGCCAGCTCTTGGGACCTATCCCCCTTTCTGTCTCCCCTAGCCTGGGCTTTCCACCCCAGCTCTAGACTAAAAATACTCAACTGATCACTTGTTTAGGTCTTGATTTTTACCACCAAAGGCATAGCAAAAGGATGATTTTGTCCTGAGAAAGGAAGTGACAGATTAGTTCATATCCTGGGGCAATTATGGTCAATCTGTTGACTTTGCTGCAGTCAGTCAGATTAAGAGATGCCACTAAGGTATATACATATGGCAACGTTTATCAAATTGTACCCTTAAAATATCCAGTTTACTGTACACTAGTTATATCTCAATAAAGTTGTCAAATACAGGGAAAAGGAGCCCCCTCTAAAACTCAGGACACGGTACATGTGGAGTATATAGCGTAGTTCTTGACATATGGTAGGTACTTAGTAAACCATTACTAGTAAAGGTGATGATGACAATTTATGACAAAACTTTGCCACTTACCCAGGACTCAAAAAATTAAAAACAAAATGCAGCTGGGGCCTCCAGAGTGAGTGAGAAATCTGGGTAAATGGCCCAGTTTTGTAGATTTGTCAAGAAGAGAAAGGCAGGGTTTAAAATGACTTACCAGAGCTCATGGTGGTGACAGGACAAGTGCTCTGCAACCAGGCCTCTGAACTGCTCTGCAGAAAAACAAACACCACAACAGAACTGATGAATGGCAGGTTCGAGATAAATCCCTATGGTTCACATTAAAAATGCAAACCCTGTACATAACCCTTGATAAAACACAGCTGAACCAGGAAGCGCCTGGCCAGGCTTCTGGTTCTCGTTTGGCTCTGTATGACATGACCTTGGACACATCACTCAAACTCCTTGGCCTGTTTTGTTACCCATACTTGGTTTAGAGACGAGGCACAGGTCGTGCACATATTTTGAATAGTAAGGTCCAGCTGAACACATCTGAAGGACAATCTGAGACGCAAGCCTTAAGGACATGTAGAACGTTGCTGTTTAAAGTGTGGTCTGCAGACCAGCACCACTGGCATCAGCTGGGAACTTACAACAAAATGGAGAAACTCAGAATCGACCCTACACCCACTGCATCAGCATGTGCATTTTACAAGGCCCCCAGCCGGTCCCTCTGTACTTTCACGTGTGAGAAGCAACGATGTAGAGGCAATCAAGCCCCTGGGTCATGACTTCTGTAGTAAGGTCGAGGTCTGGTCTGAGGGTCTGGACCAGCAGACACGCTTCAGTTTCCTTCGAAACACGGAAGCCGGGCCCTGGCTTCCTCTCTGGGTGGCTGCCTTGTTCACTGTCCTTGCAATCGACTGAATAGAAACTAAGGGGGAAAAAAGAAGTCATTCTAAGGGCTTCTCTCCAGCCCAAATCAGCAGTAACTTTGCCTCTGTCACTGTCAAGTATGCCCGAGACTACCTGTGACCTTCAACAGCCCCTCAGATTGTTCTTTAAGCTGTGGAAACATTTGTTCTTTCAGTTAAGAATGCAACCTGCTGTGTTCCATATGCCCTGGTGGTTTCCCATCCTGGTTTTATGATACCTTCGTCTGCCTCCCAGGCCAGAAAGGGCGGTCAGGATATCATCCAAATGTTTTACTTTAAAAAATAATTTTAATAATTATGTTAAGGTTTCATTTACTTAACTTTTAAAGCATAACCAAAGAAATGTTTTTGCTTCAACCATGAAGTTATGTTAATAGAGAGTATTTTTCTTTCTTTACAGTCCTATCTAACCTGTACCTGCATAAATAGCACTTACAATGTCTGGACAGCTTTGTGTTCGAGTTCTTAAATATTTCATGAACATTCTTCTGGATTTTCACAGTCATACCCATCATTTTGATGGCTGTGTAGTATTTCATTGTAGTAACAGTCCATAATTCATTTATCAATTCCCTCTGTATAGCTCAATTTGTCTTAATTTCAAAAATAAGTACATAGCACAACAGCATTCTTAGGTCTGAGAAGAGATGACTGGGAAAGCAGACAAAAAGCACGCCTCAGCTCACACCTGATGAGTCATCACCATCTGTGATAATCTGGGTCACCCTTTGCACATTTTATATTTCTCAATACAGATACTAGTAATTTCTAGGTGTCAGCCCCACCCTTGCATAAACTGATCTAAAGTACATATGGTCCAGGATAGTACCCTAAATACTAACCATCACTTTGCCACAAACGTCCACCAACCAGAGCAGATGCCAGAGATAGCGCTCTCTAGGGGGTCCTCCCCAGGCTAGGTGTTTACCATCCAGTGGTCAGATTTTAAGAAGATGGAAGGAAAATGGGCCCCAGAGGGTCGGACACTATCCCGATTCTTGAACTTGGATGACAGTAGGAGGCAGCAGTGACGACCCTCAGGTGAGTACCAGCTCTGCACGTAAAGACTTTTGGTACTAGGTTCTGTTACGTGCTGTCACTTGATTGCAGGTAACATGAAGCAGGGAGGACAGTTTAAAATAAAAACTGCAGCAGTGGCACTTGTGCCGAGGATGGCGCCCAGTGCCCTGTCCTCGTCAGTGGTGGCAATGGCAGCGACATCCTATCCAGACTATTCCAGGGCCTGGTTCTGGCTCTGAGTCCATCCAGTGCAGACTCCTTGAATTTCTGCCCCTGTTCTGAGCGCTATTCTCTGACCTCCTGTACATTCTGAACTACCCGAGGACTCGCCAACAAACCCCCTTTTCAGTCTGAATTAACCAGCGGCAGTTTCTGATTGCAGCCCAAGCATCTTGAGCAGCAGAAGAGGAGGAAGAAGATGGGGAGGAGGGAGCCCCAAAGGTTTCACGCAGAGAGAAGCTTCACTCCTCTCTCCTGAGTAAGGCCATCTAGGGCTGAATCCCACGTGGCTCAGGAGACGATTTTGTCTCTACAACCTGAAGAGCTCAGAGTCAGGGTGGCGGGGATGCAACTAGGAAGCTGCACAAACTGAGTCTGGCCAGGAGAACGCTGAAAGCTTTGGAAGTCACAATCTACTCCCCGCAGTTTACTTAGAGACAGTACAAGTATTACAATCATATGAAGAACATGAGGGTTTATTTTACATAAAAACCTCTGACACTTAATATTTATTTAAAAACTAAGCTGTAAAGAGTTTGAGTTGGTTGAGAACATGATGGCACGTCTTTGGAATTTCTCCCCTAAATCCCCTCCAAAGGAGACAGGCACCTTTGGGTAAAAGCCAAAAAGATGAATGGTGCCACCTAGTGGCAAAACTGGACAGATGCAAGTGGGCAGCAAACCCCACTGTGAGTTGCAGGAACCTACAGTGTCACCGTCTGGGTGGCCAGCGAGAGTGAAGCCACCATTCCACCCCTTGGGCTGCCCAGGTCTACCGTACTTGGTCAAAACACCACAGCGTCGACACAGACATTCCATCAAGAGAACAAGATGTGAAGTAGCCAGTCGTGTTAAGAATGCATCTGGATAATGAACGGTTTGGCGTGGTCCCTCTCTAATTCCACGACCCTGTAATTTTGAGATAAGTCTTCATGACAGAGAGTGAATAATTACTAAAAAGCAAAAGTTATACTCATGTTTCCAGCTGTAACAGAATCCAATAGCTAAATATGGGTTGTTTATTAGGGAAGGAAAGGAGGTCCTTCCTTATATGGATGGTTCAGGGATATGACAAGGGAGGAATTGAGTGTGTCTGTAAAAATGAATTCAGGGTTCAGCAAAGATCCTTGGAAGAGCATGAGCCTCTGGTTGACCTCGCACACAGCTTGCTCCAGCTTCTCCTATGCCCTATGCTGTTTTGCCTCCATTGCCTCTTCCCCAACACACACACTACACACGCAGACAACTGTAAGATTCTAAAGGGAGATACTGTGTCATCCTTGGGACTGAGCATGCAGTGGGTGGGTGTTCAGTCGTGAACTTTGTCCTTGCCTCTAACCTTCAGAACCTAACTTTCAAGTCCTAGTGTCAAAATAACCAAGATTCTCCTTAATGCCATTACAGCTGCCTAATACAAGCTAGTTCCCCATTCCGACCAAACTCTGGTTAACACTCTAGCTCTGGAATCCAACCTGAGACCTGGTCTGATACATGTATTTGCCGCTACACGATGGCTTGAAAAGAACACGGACAGCCCACAGATGCCTGGCCTTATACTGTGCTGATCCACCAGCAGAGCCACATTTCTCCAATGTTTCTGTCAGCTCATCTTCTTCTCAATCCCTATTAATGGCATTTCTCTTCAAATACACTCTCTACGCTATCAGGGAGGGTGCAGAAGGCTCCTCAGAAAGCCAGAAAGGATAAACACTGAGTCGCTAACATTTCCTTTCAAAGGGAGGAAGTTAGGATAAACTTGACCCTGATGTTAACTTCGGCCTGGAATCCCAGGACACCGGTGGGGGCTCAGAACACAACAAGCACATGGTTTCTGTGAAAAGACCGATGCTTCTGGAGAGGGAGCAATAGGAAAACACGTCCCCCACATCCTCCCGTTTCCTCCTGGAATCCCTCCAACGCGGTTTCCGTTCTAACCAGTTATCTAAAATGGCCTTCAGAAAGGTTTCCAGTGCACACACACGGCCAAGCCCAAGCTCCTGCCCTGGCCAGGGCCTCACTGACCTTTCCACTGAATTTAAGAAGTTAACTCCTTCCTCCTCCCACAAGCACCTCCTGGTCCTGACTTCTCAGTGTCACTGCGGACTGGTTTCCCTTGGGCCATGAGGCTCTTCCTTCTAGAACAGGACCTCTGAAGTTCCTCCCGGAGTTTAAAGAGCTGGAGGACCCTGGGCTGGGTCCTCGTTCCTTTCCAAGTACTAGCTCACTTCCTTGAGGATTTCATCTGGACTATTCAAGCCAGAAGGATCTGTGCTGGTTACCGAGCTCCTTCTTGTGGGTTTTTCACCTGTTTCAGCAGAAGGTTCCACGAGCCCCCTCAGGCCACCAGCGCAGCTGTGTTTTTATTGATTTCATTCATTTATACTTTCAGAACTTTCCTTGGATAAATGGGTTCTATGGCTACAAAAAAGATTCATAAACGAGAAATCTAATCCCCCCTTTTATTACTGAGGTGCAAAAACAGATTCAGAAAAGGTTTCCCTTCATCTTGCTCTTTCTCCCGTCTCCTGAGCCCACTTTCCCTCCTACCAGTCTCTTCTTCCTCCTCAGGGCACCTTCAGCCTTCAGAACGGACACTAAACCCCAGATGAGAACCTTCCACAGCCAACACACGAGCTGGACAGTGTCATTTGCCCCTTATATCCTTCTGATATCACCCCATCACTCAGTGAGTAGCACAAAGTCCTGATAATACAGGGACTGATTACCTGTAACCGTCACTCATCTCTTCCCACCTTGCCTTCGTGGTCCCTGCTCCTCCAGTCAACCCCCTCCACAGTGAGCACTTCCAGCAGAGAAGGCGTCTGGCTCATCTTTGCAGCCTAACATCTGGCATGGTGCCTAGCCCAGAGCAAGCGCCCAGTCAACACTGGTGGAGTGAGTATCTGGCCCTCGTGCAGGTCTGAGTGCACTGCATTCTCGTCCTGCCTCCCCCCCGCCCCCTCCACCCCACACCTGATACACTGCCCAGTCTTGTCAATTTTTCCACCCTCGTGCCTCAAGCACCCCAGCCACCCCTGCTTTTCCATCTGCGAACTCACTGTTCTGTTCCATCACCTCATCCCTAGACTGTTACAATG